CAGGACGGGAAGCGGGAGATGGGCACCGTGGGGGGGGGGGTTCCCGCTCTATCCCTTTGTGAGTGTCATGTAAGCGCTCACCTCCTGCCCTGACTGGGAATGGAACCGTGACCTCCTGGCTCATAGGGGGCCGCTCAACCGCAGCCACCGGCCGGCTGTAAAGGTCTTATTGGACGCGTTCCCTCGCTCATTTCCTTTTTCTCTGGTGCGTTCTTTACCCGAGGATGTTCTCTCTGCATTGCTGCTGCAGTATTGCGTTGTGTTTATGTTATCTTACTACTAGAGGCCCGGTGCACGAATTCATGCACAGGCGGGGTCCCTCGGCCTGGCCTGCGATCAGAGCGGATCCGGGTGATTGGTGCCGGCTGGCCGGCGGGAGGGTCCGAGGGAGGTTGGCTGTGGGACCGCACTGACCACCAGGGGGCAGCTCCTGCATCGAGTGTCTTCCCCCTGGTGGCCAGTGTGTGTCATAACGTCGCTTAGGCTTTTATATATATAGGTTATTTTTTTTCATCCTCACCCGAGGATATTTTTCCATTGATTTTAGAGAGAGTGGAAGAGAGAGGGAGAGACAGAGAGAAACATCGATGTGAGGGAAACACATCGATTGGTTGCCTCCTGCACGCCCCCCAACCAGAACCTGGGCCGGGGAGGAGCCTGCAACCAAGGCACGTGCCCTTGACCGGAATCGAACCCGGCACCTTTGGGTCCGCAGGCTGACATTCTATCCACCGAGCCAAACCGGCCAGGGCTCACATTGTATTGATTTAAAAACATAACATGGTTGCAACCACCATACCCAGAGCAAAATGACGAATTTTATAACCGACTTTTTCTCTATCCTTCTCATTAGGGCAAATTAGAATCACACGTTCTCCCTACAGCTCTCACGCTTCCTTCTCTCTGTGCCACGTGTGGACGGGCAGGTTGGCACTGATTTTCCCAATACATAGAGAAAGTCTCTTAAAGAAAAAAAATAGCAACAAAGTTTCGGCTGCATTTAGCTCAGACTGGGCCACCCGGGTGATGTGGACACAATGTTACAACCTCAGGGCCACGGGGGTGATGTGGACACAATGTTACAACCTCAGGGCCACCGGGTGATGTGGACACAATGTTACAACCTCAGGGCCACCGGGTGATGTGGACACAATGTTACAACCTCAGGGCCACGGGGGTGATGTGGACACAATGTTACAACCTCAGGGCCACGGGGGTGATGTGGACACAATGTTACAACCTCAGGGCCACGGGGGTGATGTGGACACAATGTTACAACCTCAGGGCCACGGGGGTGATGTGGACACAATGTTACAACCTCAGGGCCACGGGGGTGATGTGGACACAATGTTACAACCTCAGGGCCACGGGGGTGATGTGGACACAATGTTACAACCTCAGGGCCACGGGGGTGATGTGGACACAATGTTACAACCTCAGGGCCACGGGGGTGATGTGGACACAATGTTACAACCTCAGGGCCACGGGGGTGATGTGGACACAATGTTACAACCTCAGGGCCACGGGGGTGATGTGGACACAATGTTACAACCTCAGGGCCACGGGGGTGATGTGGACACAATGTTACAACCTCAGGGCCACGGGGGTGATGTGGACACAATGTTACAACCTCAGGGCCACGGGGGTGATGTGGACACAATGTTACAACCTCAGGGCCACGGGGGTGATGTGGACACAATGTTACAACCTCAGGGCCACGGGGGTGATGTGGACACAATGTTACAACCTCAGGGCCACGGGGGTGATGTGGACACAATGTTACAACCTCAGGGCCACGGGGATGATGTGGATACAATGTTACAACTTCAGTAGCGGTGCCTCCCCTGAGCTGCAGAAAGAAGAGCAGGCTGTTAATGAACCATGTGTTCAGGCCCCGGGGGCCCCAGGTGCGGCCCTGCTGGGGGGAGGGGGCGGGGGACAGTGGCACCAGCCCCAGGAGCTTGTCACTGGGGATCAAAGGCGGCACCTGCACCTCATAATCACTTCGCCCCCTTTCAAGGCGGACGCTGATTTACCGCCTGTCAGGGCCCATCACTTTGTAGTTCCGCCTCAGACACGGAGATGTTGTCAGGGTAGGTTCCAAGGTGGCGTTCTGTGTGGTTTTTTTATTTTATTTTTTATTTTCAGGGCAAATCTTCCCTAACGTGCCCCACGGTGCTCCTCAGAGCAGATGTTCGAGGGACCGCCTGTGGTCAGGGACCGGCTGCGAGCCTTTGGTCCTGGTCCCGGATCCGAGGCCACCGCCCTCAGGTCCTTGTGGGTGGGATGGACGGAGGTGGGTGTGTTTCAAGGTTGGTCCGCGGGAGCCCTTTCTTTCTTTCTTTTTAAATATATTTTTATTGGTTTCAGAGAGGAAGGGAGAGGGAGAGAGAGAGAAACACCAATGATGAGAGAGGATCATGGATCGGCTGCAGCCTGCACGCCCCCCCCACTGGGGATGGAGCCCGCAACCCGGGCCTGTGTCCTGACCTCCTGGTTCATAGGTCGATGCTCAACCCCTGAGCCCCGCCGGCCGGGCCTAACTTTTAAGTCTTGATGCGGCTCCTAAAATCCACTGTCCACCTGTCTGTGACCCGGGGGTGTGGGTGGGGGGGGGACCCCAATGTCCAGGAGTCTCTGCTGAGGCCCGAGCTCCCCCGGGCAGAGAGGGGCCGGCTGACCTCCCCTGACCTCTGTGGGCAAGGTCACTGCTTCCTCTGCAGAACCACCGACACCCACCCAGACCCGGGCCGGCTCTCGTGTTTGCCGACGCCGCGCTTTCCTCGGGACCGAAGTCGAAGCCACACACCTGCCCTGGGAAGCGGCCGACTTTAGAGCTGAGGGTTTGGGGTCGGACCCCAGCTTCGGGGCTCCCAGCCCTGCTCTGACTGTGGTTGCTCACCCTCACCCCAGGGCATTCCCCCCATTGATCTTTGGGGAGAGGGGAAGGCGGGGGGCGGGGGGTGGAGACACACAGAGAGGAGGCACATCGATGGGTTGCCCCCACTCGGCCCGACCTGGCCCAGGGGTCGAGCCTGCAACTGAGGTACGTGCCCTGGACCGGAATCGAACCCCGGACCCTTCGGTCCACAGTCCCGCTCTATGTCCACTGAGCCACACCAGCTAAGGCCCTTGTAGGTAGTTAAATGCACTTTTCTCGTTTGTTTTTAATGCATGGAAGGCTAGTCTGCATTTGACCTTAAATTACTTTGCCTGTGGAACTGGACCCCAAGCAGCTGCCCCCTCAAACCTCCCCTCGCCCACCCCCGTCCTGCCAGACATTCATTCACAGGCCCGACAGGTGGCGCCCAGCCCCTCTGCCCAGCTCTGGTGCTGTTAGGGTGAGGGTGGTCTCAGGCACCAGCCTTAATTCCTAAACACCCTGCTCAGAGCCCGGCCCACGTGGCCCATGGGTTGAGCATCGACCTAGGAACCAGGAGGTCCTGGTTCAATCCTGGTCAGGGCACAGGCCCCAGTTGCGGGCTCCATCCCCAGTGTGGGGGTGTGCAGGAGGCAGCCAGCCCATGATTCTCTCTCATCACGGATGTTTCTCTCTCTCTCCCTCTCCCTCCTGCTCTGAAATCGATATAAAATATACATATTAAAGTTAAATAAAAGACAGTGCCCCTCCCTCAGGCTCTGCCCATCTGCCAGGTCCCGGGGATGAGCCGTGACCTCTATGGATGAGCTGTGACCTCTAGCGGAGACCATACTCAGCCTTCGCTGGGAACTCGGACAGAGCGAGAAAGTTTCCTCTGTTCCCTCTCAGCGCACAGGGACCAGCAGCAAGCGGAAGAACATCGTTTATCTTCAATAAAATACAGGAGCACGAAAATATCGTATCATCCAGCGCACAGGCACCAGCAGGCCCACGGCCGGCCGAC